CGGAAGAGTGGATCGGGGGATCGCTAAGGGACCGCCAATTCGAGACGGAAGCCAAAATGAGACGGACGCCCCAGGACGGTGTGGTGAATTGCAGGTACCTGGAGGATGGATAAACGGGGCATGGGATTGGAAATTATCGGGGTTATTATCGGATGAGGGGGGTTTGAGATTGGAGATGGGATGACGGATAGGCTCGGGTAAGGGACACGCAGTGCAAGTCTGGGGTGGAAGTGGGAGGGAGCGAAAGGAGGAGGGAAGGGTGTTCAGATAGACGATAGATATAGAGAGGATACGAAGCTAATTAAGTATGCGCGAGTGTGATTTAAGTACGATGTTAGGTAGGTAGGTAGGTAAAGTAGGTAACTAACTCAGCTAGCTAAACTAGCTGGGAGAAGTAGTAGGGGAGGCATGTCAGCCAAAGCCGGGGTAAAACGAACATCTGTGGACATACAGAAGTCATCCCGGCTTAGTATATCCAACCAATTTCGAAATTCCTTGGATTGGTGATCCAATCTCCTCCTACTACTATCTATCTATTCTCCAGTCCTGGATTTATCATGGTAGATCGTATGGAGTCACTACCACTAGCTAGTAAAGAAAAGCAGCGGTTCACCAATAACTAGACGTCTATCATCACTATCACCCCCGCCATAGCCCTGAGAAGGAACGAGCGAGAAAGAACCACGATTAACGAGGGATATTAATGCCATCATATATCTACTTAGTACGGGAGGGATTTTCGGTTGGGAGAGAAGGATTCAACGAGGGGAGGGGGAGGCTGTGTCAGTTAGGCGTGAGCCGCCGGGGCCTACTTACTTACCTACGCCTCTTTTGGGAGGGGAAAAACAGGAGGCGGGAAATAAATAACTCGAGGGGAGGACAGACGCCCCATGAGGGATGGGATCAGAGCTACTAACTAATAACTAACTAACTAACTACATCTGAGCGTGTATTCCTGGCGGCTCAATTACCGTGCACGGTCGGGATGACCATCCCATCCCACCGCCTCGATGCCTGAACCACTCGATGGAGGAGGATGAGGAGGAGGGAGGGGGCGGAGCGCTATGAAGTGTTGTCAAGATATCCACCGGGTGGTCATTACAGTGGCCATCATCCTATAGCGGAGAAGGGGGGAAGAGGGAATGGATTCAGGAATGTTGCGGGCGATTAACTGGTTGACTGATTGATTTCTTCTCTAGCATCGACAATGGTTGAGGAATCTTATCGGGTCGTCTGCCATTCTCCGCATTCTTTTGTAACTGTTTACTCACGAGTACCTGCCAATTGGCAAGAACGTCATATGAAACCCCCCTAATCATGTTTTGTGTTATGTATTATTGATTCTCGTCCCTTCTTCTTGTTTCCTCCTGATCATAAGTAGTAAGTAGAACCATGAACCCATCTCATCCCATGATGCGCTCTCTCTCCCTCCTACCCACAAAACCCCAACTCCATCAACCATTCTCTCTCCCCATCGGAACTGAACTGATTGAGGGGTTGGCTGCAGCGGTGGGGCACCAGCAGTCATCCAACCACGGCTCCGCCCCTGACGAAAAGAGAGTCGATTTGATTTGATGTGCACCGGTCAAGTCATTGATCGGGAGGCCCAGAAAAAAAAGTCAAGAATCCACTTTTGCCTTTTTCGGGCAGAGTCGATCGACCGGCTCTTTGGTAACTAACTAACTATCTCTACTTGCTGTACCATCTAAGTAAAGTGGTAAAGTAACTGGTGTATGTATATGTACTGGGGTGGTTTCTATAGCAGACAATGGTATTAACATGGTATACTAACTACTATCACTACATAGTGTATGCACACACACACCACACACAAACACTGAACCAGATTGGCAGCAGTAGAAGAGAAAAGAAGTATTATGTAAAAATGGATGGCAGTAAGTAGGGTCGGACATTCTTCTTGTTCCTCTCCTCTTCCATGGACTTGTTTCTGCATTATTAAATCATCACCCATTTTCACATCGTCATCGAGCAGCTGCCATTCAGCTAGTTAACTTACCTAATATTTCCCTAGTGGGCGATCTTTAGTAAGCCCCAGCAAAACACCACACACATAGTCACTTACATAACTACTTACATACACACATAACATACTTCCCCTCTCAATACTACCCTGCCCTCATCTATCGTCATAGTTATTAATCAAACATCAGGTTCCTGAAAAAAAAACTGTAAGACAACCATAATCCCCGTGACATACCTAACTTAGCTCACGGATGGAGGAAGGGGTGAGAAAGTAAAAGAAAAATAATGACCACAAAAGGACAACTCAATCAAACGGCCGCCTTCCTTCCCAGGGCTCAGATCTCGGGGGGTTATGAGAGGACGGGTGATTATTGCATGGCGTCAAGGCGGCACCCGTTCGGATTGGTCCCAGAGAGCGAGAGAGGGTCTGGAGAAGATTTGGGACGCCCCAGCAACTTGCATCCATCCCATTGCTACACATCGAATCGGGAATGCGCTCGACCAGCAACTGCTCCAGTCCCCCATCCTCCCTCTCACTCACTCACACACACACACACTCTCTCTCTGGGGCTTCCTCCGGCTGAATTTCGTGACCCTCCCCCAATCTGGCAAACGCGGTCCGAGCTCTGCGGCCCATATGCGCGCGCCTTTTCACAGTAGCTCCCCTTCTCTTCTCTTATCCTCTCCCGACTTCCCTCGGGATCAAATCATCTAAGCCTTCGTAGTCATTATCCAGCCTACATCACAACGTACTCCGTACATCTACAAAAAAAAATCCGCTATGGGGTCATACTAATCTCATGATTATGATACCAAACCAAGGACTTACCGGATGATAGAAATGGCAGGCACAAAGAAAAAGGGAGAATGGAAAAGCCGAGAGAAAGAGAAACATGGCGCACACACACACACACACACATGGACAGTGGTGAATGAAAATGATCGATGACCTCGGTTGTCATCATCACCGCCCATCATCATACCCGCACTTTTAGTCGTCAACGATCCATCCCGGCCGCACCGGTGACCTATTTCCAACCCAATAGAAACCCTCTCGACAATAAGACGAAAAGACGACTGGTTTCGTCAGCTCCCATAGAAACATAACCAGTAGACGACAGAGCAACCCGTGGTGGCCTGTGACGAGTAGACGGAACCGCATGACGACCAGATGCCCAAGAGGAGGACTGTGCGCCGCGTCAACTTTCCTCTCGGCCAGTCTGCCTACTTTCACTCAACAATCTCCTCGGCTCCTCCGCGTCGCTCCCGCCACTGTGGCCGGAGATCAAGAAGATGCCCGTCTACTCGTTATCCTGCTCCACGGTTGCGACTGACCAGTGACGTTCATGTGCTCCGTTGATCGACTTACCGGGGGTGAAAATAGAAAGAAAAGAATAATAAATAAATAAAAATAAAACTAAATAAAACAAACCAAATAGAGAAGAAAAAGACTTAACGTGCCCATCAGCAAGGCAGCTTCGATGTCTGGGTTCGAGGTCTTCCACTGGGCCGGCCGACGGTTCCAGTCAGGCTCCGTCGGGATCCGTGCAGAAAGTCTTTGCTCCAATGTGCCAGCAGGGATCCCCCGGGGATGGTCGATCGGGATGAAAGAAGGCAGAAGCGGAGCTTTCTCTTCCTATGGTCATGATCCTCCATGACATATACCGTGCCTAAGCCACGCACGCTCGAATACGAAGGGCGTGGAGACTGGTTGCAGGGAAGGGGGTGGGCAATAATAATAATAATCAGAATAATAAAAGGAAATCTGAGCGGAACAATAAGGAAGAGAAGCGTCCCACACGGCGGCGATCATCTTAAAGAGCCCTCAGGCCAAAGCAGCAGTAGGGGCCAGACTAGGTCGCTAGGAGAAAAACCAATAAAGCCCTGCCCAACTCTAAACATTTTAGAGTTGAATCGACTGGAATTGTCGGTAACTTTGTCAGGATTCAGGGGGGCACCGTTCCTAGAGCTTATATTGGACCGTCGCCAAAACTTTCGCGGGAGATCCCCAGAAGATCCAAAAGCCCATAGGCGACTGCTGCTGCTGCTGCTGGGGCTGTGAATCTGAGCTATCTTCTCGTTGCCCGGCGAGTCCACCCACGGAAGCGCCGACAGACGCGCGAGCACGACTCTTGGACCTTTTCTTTCCCCCTACTAGCATGGTTTTGCAGCTCATCTTGGTCAACAGCAGGTGCAATTCAGGGAGGAGATCGTCCTTCTAGACCGGGTGGTAAGGGACAGGTCCGATAGTAAGGTCCCGACAAAGTGGGTGAGCAGTAGACGATCGCACCGGTGGGTGCTTGTCGAAACTCAATTCCACGCTGAAAGACCCGGGGAAGGGAGGGGGGAAGATGAAAAAGCATCCATTAAGACTAGTTTTACAATAGGCTCTACCACAGTGGACGATCACACTATTCTTCGATTTACCAGGCGCGAATTGGATTTTGATCGTCAGGTAACCCTCGTTGACAGGCCGGTGGTGACTTGCTTGCTGGCTTGCTGACATTTATTCCTCCGGTGGCAGTGGTGGGCCAGCAATGACAGACCCAGTGCCAGGAAACTCTAAGTCGGTTTGCTCTGGAGCCTCAGGCACTATGTGAGTTAGTGGAGATACAGCATGATGAGGGATTGAGGCCGAGAGTAAAAAAAGGGATCTTGGAGAAGTGACCTCCGGATGTACAGCCAATCCATCCTGTACCAGGAGCTACTAGGAAGCTGCAACAGACTTGGCTTCATACAAGCCGTGCCTGCCGGCCTGCCTGCCTGTCTGACGGGATTTTGGTAGTGACCAGGAAGCCCTTACTATACCCAGAAACTCAAATGGTTACCGAGAGAGGACCCATACATATAGTATTGCATGCAGCTGCAAGAGCCACCGGGGGAAAGATCAAACTCTTGGGTGCCTGGTGCATACATGGGCCGCTGGTCAAGTGAGGATGCACCTCATGTACTACTACGACACGGTGACTGGTAACAAAAGTCTACTTGAACCAGGAAACTCCGATAAAAGTCCCTGTTAAGCCGACTCGATGATCAGCAACCCAAAGCAGGAGGCAACCCTAGATAAATTGAAATGTTCAGTTCACTTGCTGCGCTCCAGACAGACTCTCAAGCCATATGCTATGCTATGTTGGTCGTCTAGGGGTCCTGCGCCATTCATCAGCTAACTCTACAGTAGCGTCCAATCCAAGGTGCCCCAGCAGGAACTAGGAGGCATATAGCTCGGCCCATACCTACAGCTCCAGTTAGTTGGCCATCATCCCTTACTGATGGGTAACGATGCCTCGTATTCCGAACCAGCGCCCCGGGACGGGTTCGGTTAGAGAGAGCGAAGAAAAAGAAAAGTAGATTGGAGCGAGAGCGGATAACCCCATAGAATGACACATCTTTAACATCAATGTCGTTAGTCGCTGGATATTTGAAGCGATTATGTCTTGGAATGCAATTCAAAGGTAATAGCTGCATCCTAACAGGCAAAGAAGAATGGTTTTGATTGCGTGGCAGATGATTCGATATGCTAAACAGGCATGTTTCTCTCCTTCCTACGTGGACGTGTGTACTGCTTCGTATCCAAGGCGAGTGGGAGGAACGAATCCGACCCGACCGGTCTGGGTCCGGTCCCAGGATCCAGTCAGTGTCCGTGCCATTTTTCTGGGCTGGCAATGCCTACTTGTTCCCCACTGAATCTGAGTCACTGGACTCCCTAGTTCTCCGTATTCCACAATGTTAGAAAGTCCCCACGTTCTTGAGTAATAGTACTAGTACTAGTATAGTAGATAATGTGGCCCTTGTTGCATGTCCGCTATGTATGGCTAGATTGAGCGAGAGCGAGACCAGAGGGGGAAGTCAACAGAGGGGATTCGCACAAATAATAATAATAAAAAAGGAAAAAGAAAAAGAAAACGAAGAGACAGCGCGCTAGGTGATTTGCCCGGCTCCAGATGCATCCAGTAGCGCCACGGACGGTGAACCGTAGACCTGGGCCAGGAAATGAACGCGACCAGAGAGTGTGGTTTGGGTCATGGCTAGTTAGTTAGTTGGTTAGTTAGTTAGTTAGGTCGGTGGAAGGTCTTGCTCCGGTCCGGGAAGTTGGGTTTTTCCCCTTTTAGGTAACGCGGGCAGGCACCATGTGAATGGTGATTGGGGGACATGGGGTTCAAGGACAGGCGAATTGTCGGAGGAGAGAAGGAGGAGAAGGAGAGGTGCTGCTAGACGACTAGTAAGTAAGTAGGTTGTTGTCTGAGCGGATCGTCCTAGCAGATAATAGTAGTAACTAGTAGAGGGTATCAAAAGTGGTACCAAACGGGGAAAATGGCTATCTACCCAGTCACGACTGTTACTCATAAGTATGTATTTAGTAATTATTCCTACTTTCATACATCCTACATACAGTACAGTTATCAGGTGCTCGATTCCACGGAGACAGAGGGAGGGAGGGAGTGAGAGAAAGAGAGAAAACTGGACTAGCAGCCAAAAGGGAAGCGTCAACAGAAACAGCAGACGCGGCAGGTGGCGCTATCCTTGACATTTCGCCCACCGACCAGAAGAAGAAATGCCGCACAATGACAGGGTCGTCTGGATCTAACAGGCGATCATCGCCCCCCTCCCCAAGAATGTCGAACCAAACAGGCCAGAACGGGGAGGCGACGTAAGTAGAAAAGCAGCAGACACGAGTTTGGTCGCTGTTACCAACCACCCCCCACTAGTATCAACTAGTACTAGCCGGTACTGTATAGTAGATCATTGTAATTAAATGAAGGTGGTTCCCGTTCCAAACCACAGACTGGATGGAGTCCACTGGAATACTAGAATAGAATAGCAGCAAAGAAAGACCACCGCACTAACTATCTATCTACTTACATGGGTCTCTGGCTGATCAAGTACCATTCCAAGATTTGATGGAAGGGATGTCAGTGAGAAGAAGAAAATAAAGAGTTGGGGATAGGGGAAAGATTAGCATACAGCTGGTGAAACCATATCTAAGTTCATCATAAAACGGATTCAATAACTATCCAGCTTAAACTCAGCCATATTTTAAATCTCTTTCACGCGTGTGAAGAAATCATGGAGAGATGTCAGTGGCATTTCCCATCCGGGAATCAGGAATCGGAATCCATGCAGGGCACAGGATACGGTGCCTTTTTTTCCCCCTCTGCACGCTTAACGCAAGTGGCCTATTCGAGTAATGGGAGGGGAGCTCCTGCTATGTGTCCTCCGTATTCCCCTACACTGGATTATACAGTAGTCAGAAGAGATAGGAAATCCTGTGTGCCAACATCTCAACGATCCCAATACACTTGATGCATGCATGAGTGACCGCAATTCCCTCTTCATTCATTTCCGCGAACGCCACTACTACGGGGCATTTCTTTCCCCTTCATACTACTAGTACTTAACTAGTTATACGTATGCAAAAAGAAAGACAGGAAAAAAGAAGGGGACTAAGCGCCCACTTTTGCCCGTCCCTCCCGGGCGGCGACGGCGACGGCGACGGCATGTTGGCCACGCACGGTGCGCATTGCCAGACGCTTTGAGGTCTATCTGAAATGGATAACCAGCCGCGAACTGATCTGATGATAGGTTCCCAGATATGTTATCCTGCATAAGCTTGGATGCACTGTGCCACGCCTCGAGCTCGTGTAGGAATATGATTTGATCATGGTGGCAATCCCCAAAAAGGGCGCCAATCGGCCGGGGAAAAGGACCGCATTTCAATGTTTCTCATTGGATGAGGAAGAGGGAGGGAGTGATTTTCCAGTACGGGGTGCTACAGAGCCTGAGGATGACTTCCAAATCACCCCCCCCAAATAAGACTTGTCAGGTGGCTCATCATGCAGTCGACTTCCAACTGTGACGGGATCGTTTTCCATAGAGGTGTTGTTACCAATATGCCCGTCTTTGCGGGTTAAACTATTTAGGTAGGTAGGTAGATACATACTTCGACCCCTTGATCTCTCGCGATCCCCTCAACCTGGATACTGGGAACACCCACATCTCCTCCTCCCCCAGTCTCCTCCTCTCCCCTCTCTCAAAAGTGGCCTGCCTGTACCTACGTCGTACATCAACGAACTACTAGTCACACACATGGCCTGGTATCCACCCGACTTGCTACTTTTACTGCTAGGCTACTACTCCATCCAGCACGCTGGCTTGGCAATCATCCGAAAATCGGGAGAAGGGCATGCATCGGGTTTACGAGGTTTGGACGTGCTTTGCTGCCTTCCACCTCCGGGATAGTGAGTCTGGAGACCTCGAGCAAGTGGGAAATGATAACCAGAGGCCCTTTTCTTATGGTCTGGCGAATAAGAAGGGGGTCCATGATAATCAGTTTCGGAATGACTTCCTCTAGGCTCTAGCGAATCTCCAATTACGGCGATCGGTCGGGCGCTCCCAGGACATGGGACCTAAATCCAACGAGGGATCCACCGATGGCAATAGTTCCGGATAGCGCTTGTCCGCGCTGTTTACTTACGTCTTTCCTACGATCATCCACCATTAAAACGGGTCATGACCCAAGCCTTCATTTCTGCGTGAATGGTTCGATGCGGAGAAAAAACCAGTTCTGTCAGTCACTCTTCGACCATGCTACACTAATCAATTAGACAGACTAGCCCAGCTGGGCATTTATTCTTGTTGAAAGGTCGACAAACACTACTACTAGTTAACGAGCCGCTATCTCCGGCACAAGTTTAGGTAATAAACGCAGGATGGAGATCCCACGGGATACTTACTGGGTGGTACGCTTTGGCAAAGCCATCAACCGCTCACTAGTCTTCCTTAGCTCTTGACCCCTACCAGCCATTCCGATCGGGGATGCTCTCTTTGGCACAGCGGGACACACAATGCAACGCGCTTCGTCATGCGATCGATCCTGTAGGCTGTAGTGGACTGACTCGACCTCATCCACCGGGACATTGATCCCAGCAATAGAATCAGGGATAGGAGGATCAGGACTAGGACACCGTCCGTGCCCCAAAGACGAGGCAACCAAAAGGCGAGGATACAGTAGCATAATACATGACACAGTAAAGTAGCAGGTACAGTAGCAGGTACAGTAGACCCGAACCCCCACACTCCATCCCTTGTGTGCACTGCTCTTCGAGGATCAGCCGGAATAATATCATCAGCATACCTAATAGAGGATGAGGAATGACTGGTCATAGGGTTAGCGACGTGACCTGTCGTGGTTTTCTTTTTCCTTTTCTTTTTTTCTTTTCTTTCCTTTGTTCTTCTTCTTTTTTCCATCACTTTTTCTTTCTGGCCGTTCGGCCGTCTTAGTTAGCCCTGCAGGATGAGGGCGACGCTAGACTAGGCCACCTGCTGGTGTCAGAAGTCTGTCCTCTGTTTCACAACCTCAGGGAAAGGGTTAATCAGGAGCTTGCTTCATGCAATACCCAGATGAGGATTGTAACACACACGCTCAGGCTGTCTTGATTGGAAAAGCCCATTGTCTGTGGGCACCAACCTGGAATGGGGGCTTTTGAGTTACGGCTGATGGATCATGGATGTCGATCAGCCATGACCATCTCTTCTTGAGAGTCTCCATCGCCCGCCATTTCTCACCATCTCCTTCCTCCCTTTCTCCTCCTCATCGTCTCGGGTCCGACGCTGCACTGTTTCCCCTAAATAACTCCGTGGTAATTTAAATCTACTGGGTCATCATCATCCATGAATCTACTAGTTAGCATCAAACTGGTCTGTTCAGAGCTCGGCAATAATCCAACAATCATGCTATTCCTTGGCATCAATCCATGCAGCGTCCGCCCTCGGTAGATGTTAGATTAATTTTAATTTAGCATGTCGACTATTTTTCCAAACCATGTGGCTCATCCTCACAATTGACCGCAAAATAGCTAGGGGTAACCTGGCTTGACCAACTCCGGCGTAGTCTGGCTGAGGTTGTCCGGATGTCCAGTGAGAAGTCCTAGTCGCCCATCCGCTTGTCGCTGCTAACCACGAAGCCATGGAGATTAGTGGCTTCCAGTGATGCAGTGTTGATCCCCATAGATAGTATAGTAGTCGACGATACCCTACGAATTTAGCGCTATCCTTTAGGCACATCACAATCGTCGAATTAATTTTCCAAAAAATGTTCCCTCCCCTACTAAGTAACTAACTACTAAGGGACCCCAGCCGCGCACATGGAAGAGGACCCAGTATTCAGCCGGAAGGACTAGTCCTGCTCTTACTAGTCGCTCACCCTCTGGCCCATTCATGCCACTTCTCACACCGCAACCAATATCGCCTTTCAGTTTGGGTCGTCATTCTATGGTAGCGGTGTTATTGCTTTTGCCCGTCTGCATGTACCCCATTCCGATAAGGCAGTATCTACTTAGTCGGTCGCACAGTCTTTTCATCCCTAGATGCTTTTGAGCAAGCTTCTAGATCTCTTTCTAGGCACCAAGCCGCCCCCTTGCTTGTCAAAACTCTTTTTCTTTTTCTTTCAGCCTTCTTCCTTTCTTTTCTTTTTTTTTCTCTTGAATTTCTTGTGAATTTTCAGTAGATCTTCCCATTTTGAATAATTTTCCTCCCTTCAGACTCTCAACATGACTTGCTGGTTCTTCCTGCCGGCTCATTCCCATCGCAGCCCACACGTTGATTCTTAACGAAAACTGCATTGCTCGGACGCCTTGTCAGCCACGCTTTTGGGTCGATGGGTGGAGGGGAACGAAGTGGATCATCACCATCTACTTACTACTTACTACTGCCAGCGCAAGTGCCAAGTATTTCGATCCAATTCCTTCTCTTCACACCGCGACACCACCACTACATACTAGTAGTAATTACATCTCTAGCCTTGTTCATGGTTGCCGTAATGTGCCTTTGCCCCCTTCATCCCGCCTTTTTCCACTCCCTCAAAACTATGCAACTAGACCAGGTACACCCATCCCTAATAGTCACTAGCCCGGTTATAGTAATCAGTAATATAGCTAGCCACCTGCGAATTCCCCCACAGTCTAGCCAGGGATCCAGATCCCGACCACCACTCAGTTTAGCAGCACCACCACCATGCCAGAAAAAACGTGGCTCGGGGCCATCGGCGCGTGTCTTAAAATTTTTTTAATTACTTTTGCGGAAATTTCTGCGACAGCTTCGAGACATCACTCCTTTTCCGTTCATTCATCAGCCTCGTCCTATGACGATTTCGAAGAATTTCCTTCCTAGACCTACCTACGTTAGTAGAAAAAGATGAAAATTAGCAGTTTAGTTCGGAGCCAAGTTACCTACCTCGTTTTCATCGCTTATCCCTCATTTCAGCTCCTTTCCCTTCTCTTGCCCCCTTTTCCCCCTGTTATTGAGGTCATACTTGGCGCGCCAACCTCGCTGACGGGTTGCCATTCTTGCTGGGGCCGGTTCGTTACTGATGGCCGGCCGGTCCGATTTCAGTCCCTGGCCTTTTTTTTCTTAGTTTGAGGGGTTTTGCTCGGGACACTAAACTAGACTACTATCTAGGCAGACAGGCATGTGGTTAGTTACTTTTTAGTTTAGTCTGCTTCAAGTTTCTAGTAATGCTTTCCTTGTTCTTATTTCCGAGGTTTTACTATACTAGTATAGACAGGGTATACACATTAACTCCCATTCCCACTCCCACTCCCGTACCGATCTTGAGTAAGTAGATGGGGGTTTTGTACAACTTACCCAGGTAGACACCCTGTCCTTATGCATACTTACTTTCCTGTTCTACCTACTTTGTGTAGTACTTAAGATGTCCGTATCATGTATATGTACCCACGGCGTACTCCGCCGCCGTCCATGTGTCCGTTTACCATCCAATCAGGTCTACACTTGCCATGCACAACGATATCATACCACAGGACGGACAAGACGTTGCCGCTTGCGTAGGTACTTACCTTGTCCTACTACATCTTGTTACATATTTTTTTGCCTTCTTTTTTTCCCTTTGCCCCAGTGGATTCATGCTGACTAGTTACTAAGTAGACAGTATGAAAATAGCAGCAGCATCCATGTTGTAAACAGTAGACTAAATAAAAACAAAAAGGAAAAAACAAAAGAAAAAGTCTGGGAATCAGATTCCTAGCGCAACGCCACTAGTTCCAGAATATCCGAACCTCTACATCCGATAAGGGGGCGGCTTTTCTTACCCTCTCTCTCTCTCTCATTCCTTTTTCCTTAGACGCGGCAGCGGCAGCGAGCGGCAACATCGTCATCGCGGCTTTTTTTCAATTCAGTGATTAATAACAATATTAACAGCATGTATTATTAGGTGAACGACTAGACTAGCTAGATGGGTTCTAAGTCCGCAATTTTTTCTTTTTTTTTCCCTCTTAATTTAGCGTCTGAGCCACTGGTTCTTTGCGTCTCTGGTTGCGGACTAGTTCGGGGCGCTGCTAAATGTAGATCGACATGGTATGTTTGGGGATTTGTTTCACTCTGTATCTAGCACTAGATACGGAGTGCGGAAGGCCGGCTAACTAACTAGTTGCTAAGCAGTTAATTATTCGGTTAGTTGGTTGGTTAGTTATTATTATTATGATTAGTATTTCGTCGGGCGCGCGGGGCAGGATGTTGAATCTTGTGATTTGGATGACGATGATGCTGGTGGTGGTGTGGTGGTCTTCACCGTAATTTGTTATTTCACTTCGTTGTGGTGTCTATCCTTCCCCCTGTCGGGTTATCTATCCATCTATATGTTTATCGAAGGATCTGATATGGATGTCATAATCTTTACAAGAAAAACAAAAAGTCACCTATTTAGATAAAAGATTAAGTCTACTATCTTTACTTCTTAACTAAATACGGAGGAGTTCTAATCCTTTAAGCTTTGAAACGGACACTTAAGCAATGCTCAACAGACCAATTGCCCAGTTAGGCAGGTACTATATGTATTACACCGTACAGTAAGTAGTAGTTATCACCGAGTACCGCGGCTCTCCTGATCACTTACTTACATTACAACCTACAAGATAACTAATTACTGTTTGTCTAGTTATTCAGACAACGAACTGACTAACTTACACCTAGCATACATCACTACTTCTCGCCTGCCAAGTGCCAACACTCTTCTTGCCCCGCTCGCTCGCATCTGCAGATGATGGCGAGAGAGAGACAGGAAGAGGAGGCTCAGCTGAAGAACCCTTCGCACTTCTTTTTCGGATCTTCTGACATGCTCATACTTATCTTGGAAATGCATCCTGCAGATACTAACTGGACTGCTTAGCATCTCGGGTGCGGATTTCGGGAGGGAGAAAATAAGAGAGGACGAAGACTCCTGCCTGGTACAGTATGGTGCAGAATTCCCAGTTTCGTCTACTGAGTCAGATATTGTTGTTGTATCGTGTGGCTAATGGCTTGCTTTGTCAATAGTTTAGTTATCTACCTGCCTTCCTTGGTTCTGGTGGATATCTGCCGATAGTGGTTACATATGTGGGTTGGATAGCTACCACCACTTACTAGTCCATGACCAACATATCCAGGACCACTTTGACGCAAACATGATCAATCCATTCTACCTACGTACTATTCCAATGGGAACACAGACAAGACAAAAGACGGCAGGCAACACACAGACAATTCTTCCCAAAATTCTGCTACACATGTATACCAGATGCACGGACATTCTTCGGCTATCACTACAGTGCTTACACAGCCGGCTATAGGAAGCGGCAACCAAAGTCAGGTTTCACGGCTTTCTTCGGTAATAAGGTGCAGTCGACAGACGGTAGCTATGCATATGGTATGCAAGATGCCCAGCTAAGCGAGGTCAATAACTACTTGCCTACATTTTGTCAGGTGTTTTTATCGCTGTGAAGAATACTAGATAGCGTGCTAATGAAAAAACAGCAATGCAAGGGGTAAAGTCGGTAAGTTAACCCCAGCCGGGATATGATCGGGATCTTCAAATATTTTCTACTTTCCCAGTTTTTTACTTTTCGAGGGGGGTGGCGGGTTTCTTCAGACCCGAGACAGGGTGGGTGGGGAGGGGAGATGGAGATCGGACATATCATCTACTCTACCTTCTACTTACTTACCTCAGGATTGTTACTGGTGAAGTTATGCGCTGACGAATTAAGAAGTGACAGTTGGTTTACTTGGTATAGGTCGTCTAGATCTACACTGCAAAGAGCTTTCAACCCTTGCCTTACCTGCCAAGGTAGATTAGGTATAGATGGGTAGATCTGGTTGCGTTGCCTGTGTGGATACCCAACCCGATCGATCCATCATCCACCCATGAGATCAGATCGCATCGTCTCTTACTATGCACGTACTGCATACTATGTGCGTATGTGTCTGTGTGTGCATACCTACGTACGGAGTACACGGAGACACGGTAGAGCCGTTTTCTTTCTTTCCCCATGGGTAAAAACTGCAAGGTTCTTCTTTCACTTTCCATTCCATATTCCTCCTTTTCTTAACCCGATACTAAGTATGTGTTAGGTCTTAAGTTACGTATACCCTATTCATCTTACCTTCCTAGTAATCACCTAGTGTCTACTAGTTACACTTTCCCCTCCCCCGATCACCATGTACATGCCGGGGAAGCATCCGTGGAATGTACATATTTCCCAACCTAAGTAGTAACTTAAGTAAAATCGTGTATCTGCCATCTGTCGGCATTTCCCCCATCTCAAGAATGTGAATGTAAACGTGTGTGCCTGATGGCTGTGTCAATTACATGGCAAGTAAAGTTTAAGACCTTACACTTCCTTTTCCTTTTTGTCATTTTCACCGCACAGACAGACCTGGCATGATGGCTGATGACATCCTGCTATGTTGGGCAGGTAAGCATGAGGAATGTGGCTGAGTGCTGTTCTGTGCTGCGCTCGTGCTGGGATTTGCTTTGCCACAGACTCCCGTAGAGTTCTGGACTATTGCCTATGAAGCTATTTTACCTTGCTTACATACAGTAAATAGAACAGTTCAGAACAGACCAATTCAGGAAATGAAAGGATTAGGATACCCTTGCTGGAAGGAATATGTTGTGCCATCTTCAGCATTTGAATGAATGAATGATTGATAGATCATCGGGGCTTTTCTGCATAGGGGCATGTTGTGTGAGTATCAACACGAGGTGTTTGTGTTTGTGTTTGTGTTTGTGTCACTGGTAATACTGGTTTTGGGAGAAGACGAAGAACGGGAAGGGTATGTAAGGTGCAGTGTATAGATTGAATTTAAGGGGGGGGATGTATGGGTGAAGTAGAGTTTGTCTCTTCCGTGTGAACTGCGTCGGATATATTTTCCTGGCGCTGTGGGCGTCGGTCTGTGTATAAGCTAGGGAGGTGTAAGTGGTGGTGGTCTATACTAGCATTACCCTATATAGATGTGTATGAGATTTTGCCCCGGAAGTGGTGATCTTGTCTGATGGTAGTAGTTACTTGGGTGTCTATGTATGTATATGTGTAGCATATTTAGTATGGATATTGTGGGGTATTATGTATAGGACTTGCTTGCTTGCTTGTGGGGGGTGAAAATGTTACTTTACTACCAACCCCTTAATTGTACCGGATCACTATTATCCCATCAATAGAGCAACCAACCCATCACCAAGAACGCATAGATACCCGACTATAACACAATCAAGCCTCTTACGAGTTGAACTAAAGTTCAGACCGACCTATTGCTCCTTTTCCAGAGACTCATTTATGTCTCAGAAACCAACCTACCCTACTACTACTATCCTAGTCCACCTGACCTCAGTATCTGAAACAAACGCGTACTCCCAAGAAATGATCTGATTCTGATCTGATCTGATCTGTCTGCGGATAAAGTTCATTGCGAGAGTACAAACCATCAACCATTCCACACATTTTTACACAGTCACACACTAACATCCAAGACATATACGACTCAATTTCAATAGTGAGGGCTGATGTCTCAGCCATCACTACGCCGACCAGTATATCCATGGACATGGCCATGGACATTAACAAGAAGAAACGAAACCAGAAACGAGGCTATCAATAACTTGTGTCCTACTGCCATTGGCCGGTATACCGTGCTGGTTTGCTTGTGGCGGATTTGCTACGTCAGTGATAGTGCTGGTGGTGGTTGTGGAGTGGTTAGAGGTAATGGTCCAGACCCTACGCGGAGGTCTGATGGGCGGAATCGAAATTGATAAAATGATAAACTGCTCTTATGTGACACATTGGGCATTGCTATATTTCCTAAAAGTACGGTTTCGGCTTCGTGGACCGGGTGTGTGGGTTATAGCTTGGCTTGTGGTTTCTGTTGTGTTGCTGTGTTTTCTTGGGATAGGGAGCTTGGGGTTGTGTGTCATGGGCGATAAACGATGAGTCTCAAGTTCTCTTGCTTGGTGAGAGAATGGGAACTGATTATTCGTGATGAAGTGCTCGTTGGGTTGTGATAAGGGGGGTTCTGTGTAACGTGCTGTTTGAGATGTATATACTTGCTCGCTATTGGTGATATTTGGTGGGATGCGGTGTGGAGGTAGATATTAGGGGATTGATAGGGATGATAGTGATAGACCTTTTGATGGTAGCAGGAAGTAGTGAGCTGCATCTAATCATAACATGCGATTAAATATGATGGGAGTACGTTATATGCGTGGCTAGAAAACTCAAGAGAAAGGCTGGTTGTGGTGCAAGATAGAGTATCAAAGTAGGATATAGTTGTTACAGCTTGGTTTAACTGAATCGGCACACGGTGTGATATTAAGCTAGATCTGGCATGTCAGAACCAGTCTAATCCATCATGTCTGTTCCTCAATGGAAATTAGGAGTCATTCGGTAGCGGGATACCTGGAGATGCACGGAAACACTGGATATAACCCCGACGTATAAAGCTCCTTGTGATACAGTATTCGACTCACGTTCGATGAATATTTCAACTGAATGACAGTTCGGTGAAGTTCTCAGATGTGAGTGCCAAAGTCATGCACTTGTCTTGCCAGATCTATCCCAGTATAGGCTGACCAGCGTGCGACAGCATTCTTAATAGCCCAAAGTTCAGCATATATCTTCTCTCCTTGTATCATAGGCTCCCATTTATTGCCCTAAAGCCGAGAAATACAGCGAAGATGTATTATGGCACCGACGCACCCAAAGGTCCGCTTCTGTGTTGTGCAAATCGACCGCTTAAAAGGGAGCTAGATCTCTGTTCGTTACGTCTGGGACGAGGCGAAAGCGATTGATGCCTTTCAGTGTTCGGTTGAGTTGACAAACGTTTTGTATGTTCGAACGAACCGGGTCAAGTCTGGAGGTAACACTCAAAATCTAGCTTTCTGAAGTGCTGAAAGCAATAGTTGTGTTAGTGAATTAGCTTCAGATAGTTGCAGGATTTCCTGTAGTTGCAGGGAACATAGCTCTCAGGATAAAGGAACTAACCTCACTTCATTAAATAGGTTCTTTCTTCACCTATAGAGCGCCAGGTAAATGGTAGACGGTGCTGAGCAAGCGAAGTCATCGACAGACCCCATTGTTGAGCTGTATCTTTCCTTCCACTCTGTAGAGGCCTCTTTTGATATCGGATTCGGTTATCTGAGGCTTGCTTGTATAGGAATGGTGATCCACCGATGATTCCCAACATATTATGGACGCTTCTCGAGGCAGACCGAGAGAGCTGTGACACAGACTCTTATCATCCCGACTCGCGTGAGACAAGGTGCCATCATGGAAATGGAACGATCCAGTCAGTGGTGCCAGGGGTCATTCATTCGATATAGACGCTGGCATCTGACAGTAGGTCCGGGAAGTATGAGCTCTAGGATAAAGGGTCAAGTAAAGAAGCCTGGTGTTTTGCAAGATACCTGCTGCTCGGTGAAAAGGGTGAGTTCTGAGGGTGACAGCGAAGGAGTTCGACTAGTTAGCGGGTGACATCCCGATCCCGCTCCTCTCCTCTTCGCGTCTTCGCATACGTCCAACAGCCCGACCATGATCCAAGCAGCTCTGAGAATAGCAAAGCTTAAACCTGACTATCGGATCAATGTCTCTGAATAACATGACTGCTATGGCTTGGTCCACCAGATATGGTTTATATGTGCTCGACTCCCACAACAGGGGCCATCTATAGTCCACTCAAGTCCTGCTGGCTGAGTGGATCAGCAACAACGCTCGGTGTGCTTGGTCTACAAAAACCTACAGAGGATGCAAATTCTAGGATTACCGGTAGGTATTTTGAGCTCTTGCCAGGTAGTCGAGTTGATAAACTTGACTATCAAGTGGGGTATCCAGCTGTACAAGCACCATCAGGGGCAGTTCGTGACACCTTACCCATCAGCCACCGTCGCCTCCTCACGGTTTGTTCCTCCTCACTCTTTTCCTTGACTCACTCCATTCATTTCTAAAGCAGGATATAAAGCACATCTTTGACTGTCAATTATACAACAGGCCCCACGTTCTTGCTTGAGGAGGATCCCATATGGGCACAAAGCTTGTGCGATCTATGAACATCTGTCGTCCACCAGTCGCACGTTCCGACTCGTTTTTAGTACCCTTTTATATTCAAATTACTTTTTGAGTATGAAGTGTACTATGTCTTCAGTATACGCTGCTCTCATGGTCGCTTTTCCTATACTGGCAATGTCAGCCACCAGGCTGACGACGACAACAGTTGTCACAACAGCACCTCCAACAGCATATGTTCAAGTTTTCGAGGCAAACGCCGTGCTTTACAGCAGTATCTTTAGTTTTCTGGCTGGAAGCATTGTGGATGTGGATACTGTGGAGGACCGGACTACTATCGGGACCAACTGTATCCATAGCCTGATCGCTAACTGCTCGTTGGAGACTGTCAGTTTCCCCCCTACGTTTACCATGGGACCTTCAACGTACATACACAGCTCAAGCGGCTCCGAACGAAATTCCCAGCAGTACACTATCGATATCGATTCAAGGGCCTGCAGAATCGTTTCTTCAACCCAAAGCGCATCCTGCGAGTTTTATGCAAGCTACTGGTATTCTGACCCCAAAACGAGCACGTCCAAACATATAACGCGCCATACGACGTTGAAGTCTTCAGAAATCAATTACCACAACCTATTAATTACGGCCGGTGTGGAGAAGCTCCCAACTCCAGTGACGACGTCGCAGACCCAAAAAAGGACCGTCCCCACGGCTACTGCTTTGCCTTCTACTACGGCCGCTGCCTCTTCGCCTAGCTCATCTTCAGAATCACGTCCTTCAAAAGAGTGGATCGCCGGGCCGGTTGTGGGAGCCGTGGCTGGGTGCGGCCTGGTCGCAGCTGCGTTATACCGGTGTCTCAGGCGGAAAGGACAAGAAGAGCCATCGGCTGATTCTGGACCGATAATCCAGGATCCTTCAGAGGAAATTAGGGGACTCAGCAGCCCTGCTAAGTCTGTATGCGAAGCGGCTATGCCAGCGGAAACTCAGGGCACCCCTGTATCCGAACTTCCAGCAGATGAGCCCTCATGCATCCAACATACTACCTAGCTTTACTCTGGGTCCTTGGTAAGAGCAATGAACAGAGCCGTGAATAGTGCAATGGGACGGGATTCGCGCGCAAGCAGTTCTATTAAATCTAAAGACATGTCAAGCCTGTTGGTGTGGTCCCGGTCTTAGTAGGAACTGTGGAGGATATACTTTACCACTGACGATGGTGTGGGTCTTTTCCTATGTCTAATAATCTCAAATTGATACAATATAGGCGCCAATTCTACCCGAAAATGTTCCTCGCATGATAGAGTACATTACCATAGGTGGACTAGTCGAGCCACTTATACACAACAAATACCTGCACACTTTTTCTTCCTCTGTATTTCTCTCTATTATAATTACTGCCATTCAACCTTGCTATCATGAACTGTTTCGCTCATGGCAACTCCAGCCTGCCATGTCTGTATACAGTCACATGACCTCGGAGGAACCAAAACTCCGTCGGCATTTTCTCCCATCGCGAGTCTCGACCGAGGTCTATACTCTCCTTCTCTTCCCCTTTCGCTTCCTGTCGAACATCCGGTCCTTCTCGCGCTTCATTGCCTCGTGTCACCCATCGTCCGGCGTCGTGGATGGCAATTATTCCGTCAGTGGGATTGATCGCCGCCTGACCCGAGACTCACGTGCCCAGGAGTCTCGCGGAAGCCGGATAATCTGGCCGTTCAGACAGTAGTATACTTCGTTCATTCCAGTCTTGAACAGCGTCAGATCCTTGGTTTCAAGCGACGCCATTGAGTGTTGGTTGCAGGGCTTGTCCTTTCGTTTCCACGATCTCGCCTTCTCTCCTTCCGGCTACTTTTCTCCCATGTCACGTGGTCATACGGTCAGAACGTTAGATATTGTTCTATGACATGACTACGTTTGTCATTTGCTAGTATTTGGCACCAATTGAATCGCATCGTCTGGCTTTATTCTATCTACTGGACTTCCGGAAAGCATTGCCTGTTCGAAACTATCTGCCAAAATTATATCCAGCTATATCTGAGCAATACCGCGTGGGCATCATTCGGATCTTTCCACTATCTACCGACTTACGATCTTCATCATGGCAGCGATTGCAATGATCCCAACGCCTCTACGTGCATCCAGGCAGTGCACTCGGCTGTTCACATCTCCGTTGGGGAGCGCTCCCCTTTCCCAGCGAGTATGGCAGACGTCGGTAACAGAAGCACGCAGCTTCTCAGCAATTACTCTGGGCAGTCGCTCGAGGATTCAGGCAAAGTATGATTTGACTAAGCATGGCCGTGAGGAGAAGTCGCTAAATCAAGGTCCAGCCCATTACGAAAGAAGACCAGCCTTTCTTGCGCTATAGAGTCGCAATTGGCGCGAAGTGTTGGCCAACAAAAGCGATACTCCGCACAGAAACCAACTAATCCGGACTCTTCAAGGTGAGCACTCTATTATCACGCCTGTCAGGCCGTGTAAGGCCATTTGAGGGCTGCGCTCTGTTATCAGCCCCTCCCGAAACCTAACCGTGTGATATATGTCAATTCAGCTCCAAAAAGTCCGCAATTCTCTCCAAACTGCCTCGGACACATGAGAATATTTACACCGTCCCCAATATTCTCACTTTCACCCGTCTACTTGCTGCGCCTATGGTAGGATACTTCCTCGTCCATGACCATCACGTAGCCGCACTAGGTCTGTTCGCATATGCCGGTATCACAGATCTTGTGGACGGCTACATCGCACGGCGATGGAATCTGCAGACAGTTGTCGGGACGATCATCGACCCGATGGCTGACAAACTGCTCATGACCATCGGAGTCAGCTGTCTCGCGGTGAATGGATCAATCCCAGGTACGTTGTGTCCACATGGCACAAACTGACGACGAACCTTCGGCTCAATTGGCTAACAACCCCCAGTTTGGCTCGCTGTAATCATCCTGGGACGGGACGTCGGACTAGCCATTTCCGCCATCTACTATCGGTGGATATCCCTGCCACCTCCCAAAACCATGGCCCGGTATTGGGATTTTTCGCTCCCTTCGGCCGAAGTGAAGCCCACTACCGTGTCCAAGATCAATACGGCCCTGCAGCTGCTCCTAGTTGGTAGTGCAATTGCGCTTCCTGTACTTCCCGAGACGATCATCGACGCTTGGAGCTTGAGGGAAGCAATGACTGGATTCCAGTAAGTGGCCCATTTTATCCCCCAGTTATTGTTACCCTTATCCTGTCACTGTTGTAAAAGTGTGTGTGCATAAGCGGGAAGAGGCCTATGTAAACCCGTTCTGGAAGTTGTCTGGTACATACGACCACAGGGTGTGGAAAACAGGGCTTCCCGTCCGCTCAGCCGTACTTAAGCCACACGCCGGGAGGTTAGTAGTTGGGTGGGTGACCACCAGCGAATCCCTTCTGTTGTATGTTTTTATTCTTTTACCTTTTCTATTTTTTTCTTTCTCTCTTTCTTTTCGCTTCTGTTTTTCCTTTCGAAATATCGCAGAAGAATTTGGTCGTACTAACAATTACTCAAAAAGATACCTCGTCGCCGCAACTACCCTCTGGTCTGGCCTGAGCTATGTCTTCTCCAGGGACGCTGTTAAAATTCTCTCCAAGGAAGAAGTGCAGAAGCGCATTGCCCGCGCCGCGGCGGGTAAGAAGCCTTGATTAACCCAACCCATAGTTATCGCATCGTAGATGAAGTGTGTGAGAAGGTGTATGTATGCATGTATGTATATATATATAAATAGAGCATTGTCATTTGGTGTGTTGTTTCTTGTATTTTGCACGGTATGGTTGGTTTTGGCGTTCGATGTCGATGTTTGAGTTCAATCGGTAGAGCGTAGAGGGCAGTAGATATATATTCGGTTGCAGTTCCGAGTAGATCGGTACTATGATGAGAGTACAACTATCCCACATCAAACCGAACCTACTGATGGTGAAGATAGGATCTCTACTACAGCTTACGATGTTAATTCAATAACAATGAAAATTAGACTGTTACCAAACATCGGGTATACATAGGTAGTACAAAGATAGTCAGTCAATAGCTTATAAGAGTAATCTACAGTTGTAAATAGTTACCAGCAGTTATTGATACTAGGTTAACTGTATTTATCTAAAATATCGTCAGGTAATCAACGTGGCTACTAGGGGTATGTGAATTAATTATTATTGTTTGTTTATCATCTTGTTTCTCAATTAGTATACAGTAGCAACAACAACCCATCACCCGATGTAAGGTTCACGGGTCGGATACAGAATCCAGACTAAGTTCGTTATATCACCACGAACCGTGTGATTGAATCGATCGCTCACTGAAGAAACAGACAAAAAGAGAGATGAATTGGTATATGCACGTATCCGAGATCCACAGAGAAAAGTATAATATACATAGGCCTCGAAAATAAGATATGAAAGGTATAATATACATAACAGGGCCTCCAAGCCAACCATCTTTTCAGTTCTAAGAGTCCAGAAATAACACCAATACGCCTAGTCCAGTCGACTCGATTCGCCCGTCGCTGTGATGCAATAGTATAGTATAGCCGTCGTCCAACACCGTAATCAAACAAACACGTGATCATCTATCCGCCAGTTTCAAGGTGCCTGGCTGATAACATCATCAGGGGTCTCCTCAAGCCCCTCCGAAGCAGGAGGAGCAGAAGCAGCAGTCCTATCCCTACTGGTCCTATGCACATGCATGAGCACCCTCAGGACACCGGACGGAGTAACGCCCTCGATGCGCCTCGCCATGCCGATACTGACGGGACGGACGCGCTCCAGGGCCTGCTTTTCCTCGATGCTGATGCCCTGAACAGTAGCATAGTCCAAGTCAGCAGGGATAGACAAATTTTCGTCGCGGAGGGATTTCTTGGCTGCGTTTTCCTGGCGGATCACAAAGGGAGCGTAGCGGCCTTCAATGGAGACACGGTTACGGATCTCCGGAGGGAAGGAAGAGGCAGAGTAGACGGTGCCGGTGGGGGACTCAATATGTGGGATGAGGGAGTCAATATCGCTCTCGCGGAGACAGAGGAGGTCGAGAGCGGAGCGTTGAGAGGGGTCGATGCGGGCCTTGAAGCCTTTGCGAGCCCAGGCGTAGGAGGACATTTTGGTGTTCTCGAGGAGGGTTTGAAGCTCGTTGATTTGCGCTTCCGTTTCCGTGAAGTGTCGCCAGCGCTTGTCGGAGACGATTCCGGCTTCGCGGGCCATCCGGGTGAGACGGAGATCGGCGTTGTCGGAGCGAGTGGTAATGCGGTATTCGCTTCGCGTTGTGAACATGCGGTAGGGCTCGGAGACGCCCTTTGTGGTGAGGTCGTCGATCATGATGCCGATGAATGCGTCGGACCGGCGGAGAGTGAGCGGTTCCCGACCTTGGGCGGATAATCCAGCGTTGGTACCAGCGATGATACCTTGTCCAGCGGCTTCTTCGTAGCCGGTGGTACCGTTGATCTGACCGGCAAGGTAGAGACCGCTGATGAGTTTGGTTTCGAGCGTGGGTCGGAGATTGCGCGGGTCGATGTAGTCGTACTCGACTCCGTAGCCGGGTTGAAGCATGGTCACGTTCTCGAGACCGTGGACCTTTCGCAGCATGGCGTACTGGGCATCGGCGGGAATGGTCATGGAGATACCGTTAGGGTAGATGACGTCGTTTGGCGCGAAACCCTCTGGCTCGAGCCAGATCAGATGGCGCTTCTTATCGGTGAAGCGGATGATCTTAGACTCGAGCGAAGGACAGTATCTGGGGCCCCTAACGGTCTCGCGGATGTGAATGGTCTTGTCCAGGTTCGCTCGGACAATATCGTGAACATCGTCATTAGTGTAGGTCATCCAGCAAGTAAGCTGGGCCTCATCGTCGACCTGAACCCTGCCATTGAGATAGGAGAACGGACTCGGGGGGTGATCACCCTCCTGAACTTCCAGAGGCGCAAAATTGATCGTCTTTCTATCCAACCGCGGAGGTGTGCCCGTCTTCAAACGACCCAACGTGAACCCGGCATCCCGCAAGGACTTACTGAGTCCGAAGGTAGCAGCTTCACCCATCCGACCAGACGGGTATGCTTCAAGCCCAATATGAATCTCCCCACCCAAGAACGTGCCCGTTGTGATAACCACCTTGCCAGTGGGTATAACCTCGCCAGACTCCAGCCTAACACCAACAATCTTGCCCTGCGCCCCGGGAGTATGCTCGACCCCATCCTTCGACACCACGATATCCGCAACCTTACCCTCGACGATGCTCAATCCTTCCGTCCCCTGCAACTCCTCCTGCATATACTTCTTATACAGATCGCGATCAATCTGAGCACGGGGACCCCAAACAGCTGGGCCCTTGGATCGGTTCAGCGTGCGAAACATAATACCGGCCTTATCAATAATTCGTCCCGCGACTCCGTCCATCGCATCAACTTCTCGTATCATGGTACCCTTTCCGATTCCACCGAAACTCGGATTACACGAACAGACACCGATGTTGGATAGCGAGGGCGTGATTAATGCGGTTCGGGCGCCTGAACGAGCAGCCGCGGCACAGGCTTCGGAGCCAGCATGGCCTCCTCCAATGACCACCACATCATATGCCCTGTGAACAAACCAGAATTAGCACCTAACCACCAAAGAAAACCACGTACAGGATGGAAAAACATACCGCGTCCCATCTGACACTGTCGCCAACCCACGTCTCCTACCCAGCACACTCAGCTGGGATGATCTCGGCTCCAACCCCCAACGAAGAAGGGCGACGGAGCGAGCCCGAAAAGCCATTGCAAACAGATGGCCTAAAGCGTTAAGGGGTGGAAAGGGGAAGGGAGAAGCTAGAAACTGATGCTTCCGCAACCGGACTTCACTACTAAACTAATCCATAGATTAACCTTTTTGCCCCGGAAAAAAGAACTCATGTCCGCATCACGTGCAGACAAGCAAAAAGCTTAAATCCGGGCCAAACTCCGAAAGGCGGTGAGATGATGTGCTTTGCTGACGTAATGACGAAATGAGCCGAAGTTTTGCATTACAGCCAATCACACGAGGGGCTTATTTCACGGCCCCGCGCTGCTTTATTGGGTTTGGGTGGACTTATATTCGCCGTTGATCCTCGTTCTCGTTGTCATTCTTGTTGACTTGTGTGTTTTCGTGTGCGTTTGCATCTATTAGAATTGTTTGAAAATGAAGGCTTACTGGTACGATAACAAGCCGGTGAGTCTATACAATCTATCCCGCTTAGCCTTTGGCCCCCCGCCTGCATGGCTTCATTACCCCTCAATTGGTTACCATAATGGCATACTAACATCTTATCACTATCAGGGCGACCAGCGCGAACCCCACGACGACGGTCGTCCCGTCGACGAAGCTTACCTCGCCTCTCTGGGTGTCTTCTACAAGTACTGCCCGAGCATCGAGGACGTCGACGCCCTGGCCGCCGAGCGCGGATACAAGAACCGCGATGAGGTCACCGTGTCCCCCAAGACCATGGGCGATGTGTACGAGGAGAAGGTGAAGATGTTCTTCCACGAACATCTCCACGAGGACGAGGAAATCCGCTACATCCGGGATGGTGAGGGATACTTTGATGTCCGTGGCAAGGAGGACGAGTGGGTCCGCATTAAGTTGGTGAAGGATGATCTGATTATTCTCCCCGCGGGTATCTACCATCGCTTTACGACGGATGAGAAGAACGTAAGTACATGTGAACTGGGGATGTGGTGTTTTTGATGGGTGCTAATGGGTCTGGATTTAGTATGTCAAGGCTATGCGTCTCTTCCAGGAGGAACCCAAGTGGACTCCCTTGAACCGTAGCAACGAACTGGATGAGAACCCGCACCGTGTGTCTTACCTCGGTAGTCTGGGTAAGGCTGCTGTTGCTGCTGTTTAAATAATTCTGGGGGTGGCAATGTAGAGCTTGATGTGATGACTATGTTATATACCATGGCAATGAAATTTTATGACAGCTATTACCCGTTCATGGATGGACTTTGTGTTTGTGTTGGTGCATATGACGATGTTCAATTCCCCTATTTACCTAACTCCGTTCGTTATGTAGGTCTGATACTTTTTCTTCAAAACTCGTAGTTATCTATGGTACACGTAACCAAGGGAAGGTAGCTGGCTCAGCGAGCAGCCGCGCCCGACAACGAGCCAGGCATTTGGAATTGTTCGCTAAGCGCACCTGAACTCTCTTCTCGGATCAAGCTGGGACTGCGCAAGTCCCCTGTCTCGACGTTGTAGCTGCTGGTGCGTGACACACTGTCGAATTGAGGCCGCGAGGCAAGTCCACCGCGGAACCGTAGTCCCTCGGGTTCTCGATCCCCTAAGTGGTGGTCTCCAAGATCGGCGGACATGGCACTCCGAGATGCCGCGTTCGAGCCGGTTTCCGAGTCGTCACCGGTGCGGACACCCGTCCGTCCCATGCGCGGCCATAGATCGGGCAGCCCGACTACTTGCACTCGGGGCTCGACCACTCGCTCCTCGAACCACGCGTGCACACGAGCTTCCACTAGCTGAGCCACCTTAGGCACGTCTTGAAGCCTGCTCCGGGAGCCGATGAGGGATCGAACGGAGAGGTCCAGCCGGTAATCCGGAAGGAAGGAGAAAGCAACATTGCTCTTCGGGCTCCCGGTCTTCGGTGGAAGACCGTCGGCTTCCTCGTCGGCCGCTCGTGCGTTGGCGTCCCCGGTTGTCTTGCCGCGTGAGTTCCCATCAGCGGTGGGAGGGGATGGGGATGGAGAGGGGGTGTGGAGGGGAGGGGTGGATGCGGGAACAAGAGAGATACATAATGTGCCCGAAAAACGAACAACAGAAACCGACAGTGCCACGGGAAGAATCGCGGAGCATGGCTTAGGGTAGTTAAGCAGCAAGGAAGTTTCGATCGCGATCGACAGGTTGTCGTCGCTCAAGTCGACGTCCATCAAGGCCTGGAGCCTCCCACCATCGGAATTGGGGTCATCGACAGCAATGATACGGCAGTTGCTGAAGATGGGGAATTCTTCACCCAGCGAGATATCCGTGACGTTGATTTTGTCTATGAAAGACGGCTTTTTCTCGGGATTGTTGAGCGCCGCATTGAGCGAGCTGAGGATCGACGACGTCGGAGAGTCCTTCAACAAGTACGCTGTCTGTCTGTACTGAGCAATAGTCTGCGCGATCAACACATTGAACCAGTCAAGAGACTCCGGCTGATGCGACGAGTGATGAATCTTATGCCTGCCATGTTTCGAGGGATTTGTGGGAATGGCGCTGTAGTAGGTTTTGCGGAGGATAGAGCGAGTATTCGTCGAGGAAGAAGGCACCGGACGGAGAACATTCGAGTTCGACGGCTTCTCTCTCAATGACCGGTTATTTGCCTCATTGTGGTTGATTGTGTAGATAGAATTGGAACGCCGATGGGTAGACGCTCGATGTGAAAGGCCGCGGGAGGGCGGCGGAGGTGCTTCGCCGAAAATGAAGAACTTGATGAAAGCTCCGATCAACAGCACCACGGACAGCTGCCCAAGCAAGAATCCCTGCGTGAAAGATAGGCTAGACTAGTTCGTTAGCCCTCTATCGGAACAACCAAGGGGGATCAGGCCATTAGTGGCATACGAGGATTGAGCCGGAACGGGCACCGTTTCACCTGGTTCGTCACGGTCAGCTTCAGGCAGTCCTTAGCTGAGGGGGAATGGATCGATCGCACTTTGTTGGAAAGACATTGTCCGCCACAGTTGACCTCAACTTCTGCCCATCGCCCATGGCCACCACTGCTGCGGGATTATATAGAAGGGGAGAATCACGGTGTCTTGGAGAAATGACGAAAGAACCGGAAAATGGCGAACGTCGAGGTTTCCGCTGCGGTGACGCTAAGCGGTGATCGATCCTCCACCGCGGGTCCGACACAACCCAGATCGGATGCAAGAACCGCCCCCCTCCCCAAGCTTGTTCTTTGGGGAGGACACGTTGGATTCTTGCACGTTCCAGGATTCTTCTCTGATCTGGAGCGGCCTGGCTGAACAAACCGACATATTGTTCTGATACCTCGTCGCCTTACCATTGCTTGTGTGCCATCTAGACGCTGCATCATCGTCGGCAGCATGCTCATGCTCATGCTCACTCTCCACTGACGCACACCAAAACCATCATTCTACAAGAAACCTCCCACAATGTATACTCTACTCATTATACAGCTCCTGATTTCCCTCCTCGTCTTCCCAAACGCTGCTCTCTCCGACCGCCCCCCAGGCAAAGACGCCATCCTCCTCTCGCGCGTCCGTTCACTCACCCTCCGCGGAAATCGTCTCACCACTTCAAGACGAGTATCTCCAATCCCGCAGCTAAAATGCACCGGCCCGTCCAAGCGCATCTGCAATATGTACGAGATCGACACAATGCGATGCACAAACGAAGGCTACGACTACGATGAAGAAGACGTCCAGTGGACCTGCACTGCATCACTCCCACGAGAATTCAAGCTCGGGGCTACGGACGTGATTTGTGAGGGATACCGGAATGCCGACGATAAGTGGATATTGAAAGGGAGTTGTGGAGTCGAGTATCGCCTACTGCTGACGGAAGCCGGGGAGGAGAAATTTGGACACTTGCGCAATGAGAGATCAAGCTCTTCAAATGATGAGCTTGGCCCCGGAGGCAAAGTGATCTTCTTTGGGTTTATGATCGCAGTTTTTGCGTTCATTTTGGCAGCGTTTTTCAATGAGTGTTGTGGGTCGGGGGCGAATCGGCCACAGCGACGACGACGTGGTGGTGGTGGTGGTGGTGGTGGTGGTGGTTACGGGGATGATGGCCCTCCGCCTCCGTACTCAGCCTCGCCGCCTCCTTATACTCCTTCTTCGGACCCTAATGAGCGCTGGAGACCCGGGTTTTGGACGGGTGCGTTGGGTGGTGGGGCGGCTGGTTATGCGCTGGGAAGAAGAAGCGCTGGGAATCGGTCTAGTTCGTCATCTACATGGAGCCGGTCCTCCTCGTCCAGAAGATATGATGACCCTGGGGAGGGTAGCTCAGGATCGCGCACTCCGCGCTTCTCCAGCACCGGAACAAGTACCGGGTTTGGCTCAACACGCCGCAGGTAATAGCTATAAAGGAGCAGAGACGCGAAACGGCAGTCGATGCCTTGGGGAGTATGCGGTAGCTATAAGCCTTTGATTCTTTCGATACTCTCGTTGTAATGACCGAGCACTAAAATACATGTAAGACCAAATCGTCGGGAAATTCTCATTATGCCAGCCGCCACGGTGCAGCAAGCAAATAGAGTAAACAAACAGACATTCATCATCACCGGGGGACAAAAGAAAGACGAACAGGAACCCAAGTAAACTCCTGCGCCAGGCAGTACAACTGGTCTGGACTGCAACGCCAAAAACACCTGTATCCCCGCATGGTATTGAAATCGGCCGTAAAACTGAATTTATCGATCCTGTGTACTCAAGGTATATCATCAATGGTGCCCAAAACTTCTTCAGTGCCACCGGCCATGGCTTTCATGGCTTGTTTTCTGTTGTTCCGCTTCGCTTTGACAGGCACGTCGTTGCCCTGAGTGCCGTCGGCACCACCGGCCGCACCGTCAGGATTACGAAGCATCTCTTCCTGCGCTTCCTTCTCTTTGGCGTGCTGAGCCTCAATTCGCTTCCGCTCCTCGTCTAACTCCTGTTGGATTAACCTGGGGTCGTCGTAGACAGTGTTGGTCATCTCCGAGTAGGTACTGATGTCGATGGTCTCGCGTGGGCCCAGCAGTGTTTCTTTGATACGCTGGGGGTCACGACGTTCTTCGTTGTTGAACTTGAGCTTGATCTGGCGCCGGGAACGGCCCGGGAACAACTTGCTGATCATCATGAAGTCTGTACCAAACATGCGCAAGCCCCGGTAGAAAAGGTCGGTCATTTCCTCGTCCCAGGACTCAGTCTTGGAGCGTTTTCCATATGTCGCCTGATTGATCTTCCGAGTAAACGAGTTTTCAATTACATCTTCAAGTTCCCCAGCATTCCTTGCGGCATCGGCATGGCGATCCACCTGCAATGAAGCAGTATCGAGCACAATCTCTCCGTTAACAATCCTCATCACTGGTCCAGCCTGTCCCTTGTTGTCTGGGTTCTCATCCCGGTCTTCCGCGGGAGACGCGTCGTTCCCGTTCTCTTTCACCGGTGCCTCGGTATCACCTTCCTGCTGCGCTTTTTGCTTACGCTCCTGCTCAGCCTGTTCCATGTTGCGCAGCTCAGTCTCTCGCTTGGACATTTTACCCGTGCGCAAATCCTTGCACAGCTCCGACATCTTGACCATTGCGGGGGCGATCTCGACGGATTCGGCGCCTTCGGGGGTCGGCTCGCGCTTCTTGCGTGTCCGAGGCTTTCTTTCCTTCTTCTTTGTCGCATTTTCCCCATTGACATCCTTCACTGATCTTCGTCTAGCCCTCGTTGTCTTTCGACCTTGTTCGGCAGTAGTAACCTGCGAGTCGGCTCTAGGGCGCGCATCTGCAGTTCCCTCGCTATCAGTAAGTGCCGCCTGCGTTGCTGGAGGAGTAACGAGTTGGGGGTTGGCGTCTATCGCAATGGATTCGGTTGTGCGCGTGATTGTAGCAGGAAGAGGAGGAGGAGCAGCAGCAGCAGAAGGAGCGGAAACGGTGGTGACGGCATCGGTGGTGATGGCGGTGGATTCTCCAGTGGTCTTGGGACGTTTGGATGGACGAATCACTGTCGCGTCATTATCGGGGCGGGATATCTGTGTCTCGGGCGCAGCAGTCGGAGTATCACTCGCAGGAGCCTGTATCTGCTCGACTTGGGGTTCCGGTGCGGTAGGTGTAGGCGGGGTAGGTTCATGTTCTATGGTTCCTGGGGAGACTGCAGACACCGAAGCCTTGCGCTTAGGGCGAGGGATTGGAATGGCTGTCGCAGTCTGAGGTACAATGACATTTTCCTTGGGAGAAACTGTTGGCTCGTCCGGAACTGAAGGCTGAGTGGGAACGGAGGGTTGAACAGCGGGGGCTGGTGGACCTGGTTCGGGAGTTGCTGTCTCTGTCGGAGGTTGGGGAGTCTGAGAAGCAGATGGCTGGGAAGCTACACTGGGTCTTCTCGGGGGAGCGGGAGCTGGAGGACGGCGAGCGGGCGCCTTGGGGGCAAATTTCTTGCCCGACTTATCTGCAGAGGAGGCATGGTTAGCAGTTGAAGGTATATAAGGCGGGACGGGACACGGGAAGAGGGGAGACAAAGAACGTACTAATGGCCGAACTGGAAAAGGACTTCATTCTGCATGCCGGTCATCGCTGAAGCGAAAGGTAAGGGAGGGATGAAATGAGGAAGGGGGGAGTATAGGGGGAAATGATGATGATGAAGGAGAGATGG